TGGCCCAGGTGTTGAGGAAAAAGAAGATCATAGCTTGGGACTCTGAGGGTAATGAGTCCTTTCTAGGACAGGTGGGAGCCCAGCTATTCCAGGTGGGCGAGAAATGGTTCAGTGTATCAGGCACTAAAAGAGGAGCACTTTTATGTCCCTAGTGCCTTTCTCTGCATGCTCCAGAGTGTTCTCAATAGTCATTCAAAGAATGAATGCATGGATAAGGAGACTTACAGTGTTAGATGGTTTGGATTAAATGGAATATAAAAAAACCCCGAAAGTGCAGAAGGGTATTAGAACATGCACATATAATGTTATGAAGATAATTTCATTCAATAATTCTTATTGTGGACAGACCTGTGTACATTGAGAAGAACTTGTGTATGCCCATATAACTGATGTTGACCATTGAACTGCCTTTGATGTAGGATTCATGAAGCTTCTTTGGGCACCCAGAAACATTATGGCACATGTGGCATAGGGTGTGTATCAGCCGAACTGCTCAGCTCAGATTTTCATGTCTCAGTTTTCTGCCATGATACTCTGTGTTGGCCATAGCAGTGCTTTCCAACCTGCTTGATCATCCTGTCCTATTATTACAGCTGTAGTATGGCTATGATTTGTGTGGAAACCACTCCTTTTCTTGTGCTTTTAAACCTACATGTAGAAATAGTGCTTCACTATCGCTTGCCTTGGAGTGTTTCATCATGTACTGTTGCTTTCCCTTAAATGTACCCATTGTTGTAAGTAATAATTTCATTTAGTACTACTCAGTTATTCCAGTTTGCCCATCAGTTTCTTCCTGGAACCTTTCCAGATACACAAAGGGAACTTCAAAATGCATATAAAACATTGAAATCTGGATTTTCAGCAACTCAGCTCTGGAAAGCAATGCCTGTACATCACCTGCTCCCCAAATGAATGTAGGGCATTACTGTCACTGTTAAAGTGATTTTAATGATTGGACTACATGGAGAATATGAGGAGCAGGATGAGAAAGAACTCCATTTGGATCTCCCATGGTAGATACATCCACATCTCATGTCTTTCCCTCAAGAAAGCTCCATTACTCCTGCATGCAGCACACCTAAGTGGAAAAACAGGGATATGACTTTAGACCAAAACACCTGAACAAATTTCAGGAATAAGACAGGACTTGGAATGAATCTTACCTGTCTCCATTCACCTGTGCAGAAGTTCTCAAGGGAATTAGGCTTTCTTGCACTGAGTGACAGAAGAGTACACTTCTTTGTTCTCATGAGATTCCTACAAGATGTTTCTAGGGCTCTTTCCCCTTTACACCCTCATACCATCCTCTCCTGTCTCAAACATGGTCCACTTCCCTGTAATTGCTATTCCGTGTTTAATTGCCAACTATAAGCTTGGGTTGTAATGTCAGGTAATGTGAGCTTACATTGTGGGGCTTTATAACTAAACAATTATGGATTTTATAGGATCATTCAAGAATCATCATGGAGTGACCCTACTTATTGTTATTAATTTTCTTTGTCATAGCAGTAATACATTTATATGTACAGTTTTGTTCCAAATGACAGAGAAGTGTATGCAAATTCAAAGTCTCCTTGCACCCCATGCTCCAGAGACTGCCACTTTCTACCCTTCCCATTCTCACTTCTATTATTATTTGTTTTGAATAGTAAACTTGTATTTCTATTTTTAATTTATCAGTGTGAAGAATTGGGTTAAATGAATTCCCTTATTAAATCTGAGGAGTTCAACACACATGGTTTTTCTTCTGTTTACTTCATAATAATTTGCTATTTATATTCACTTAGAGTAGACCTTAAAAATATTGCCTTATTGCCTATGACTTCCCTTTTTGTGCCTTATACTACAAATTATGCTAATTATTACTTTTAAAATATTGTGTTCTGAATAAAAATTATTTTGAAACATTAAGAAAAGTTCTTTAGTGATTCACTTTGTAAATAATTAAGAAGTACCTTGTCATGGGCTAAGTTGTGTCTGTGCTGTACTCAGATAGCAAAGTCCTAATCCTCTGTGTCTCAGAGTATAATTGTAATCATAGATAGAGTGTTTCGTTAGCTAATTAAGTTAAAATGAGTTAATTGGAATAAGTTTTAATCCAACATGAATGGTGATATGAAATGTGATTAACACTCAGAGACACAGAGAGAAGTTCATGTGAAACATCAGGAGAAGACTCCATCTACATAGCAAGGAGAGTTCCCTGAGAAGAAACCCACATAAGATATCACTACTCACCTCATAGAATGACTAAAATATGTAATACTCAGAGTTTCAAAATTTGAACAGGATTTGGAGAAAGTGAATTTTTTTTGTATATCACTATAGAAAAAGTAAAATAACATAACTACTCTGTAAAATTTCTTTTCACCTAGTGATGCTGTAGCCATTTCCACCTTGTATAACATTGCATTGCTCATGTGTTTGTGGTGAGGCCAGTGCAAATGTAACTACTGCACTGCCACTGGCATATAAGATAGCACATACAATTATGTACAATATATAAAATCTGGTGATGTTAATAAAAGACTATATTACTGGATTATGTATTTATTTATAGTATACTTTAATGGATAATTAAAAGTATACTCCTACTCATAAGAAAAACATAAAACTATATACCACGTTATGCTGGCAGGAACCACACACATCTCATGTTAATAGAACTCCTTGATTATATCATTTTTTTCATGTTTTTGATGCAATGTTATACTGTTTTCTCATAGTAACCCAACAATAGTAGGCTATAGTATATGTGTGTATATTACATGTATGTTCATATATATACATATATATATATATATGTGTGTGTGTGTGTGTGTGTGTGTGTGTGTGTAAATACAAACATACATCACACTGGCTGGGTGAGCAGCAGGTTATACCATATAGCTTCATGTAAGTACACCATGATGTTTGCACAATGATCAAATTGCCTAAGGATTCTTTCCTTATAACATGTACCCATCTTTAAGTAATGCATGACTATATCATAAACATTTACACATCCACTACTGACAAAATTATAGACATGAACAGTGATTGCCAAGGCTTTGGCAAGTAGGACTTTGATAAAATGAAACATATGTTAAAATTTTATCATATTTGTTTCTGATAACTCTTTAAAAATGAATCAATGGAATTTTGCAGATATACCTAAAATCTCTGATTACTCTTCAGAAGTTCTGGAGCTGATATGCATTATTTTGTCCCATGTGAAACAGCACATTAAAGCAGAAGTTTATTGTAAATCGCAGGATGCTGCACTTCAAAGAAAGTTTCTTGAATTCTTTGAATATGGGGTTTCTGATAACTGGTTATCAATGGTTAAGCCATCGTAGATATCTGAGCTTATAAAAATATGTTGAGTTGATTTTCTTTTATAAAGTAATAAAATGTTGAACTGATTTAAAAACACAATATCCCCCTGTACCCACTTTTCAATCATTTGAAGGCAAAACAACTGATCCAGAGAAGTGGGTACCTTCTACTGTTTCTCTCTTCACTCCTACAAATTATACTTCTTGTTTCACCTCTCTATTGTTTGTGTCTTTGGAATGTAAGTCTTTGGATTGGATGTATTCCTGGGAATAAATTCCAGCAAGAAAGTTTTTATGGTGACCCAGATGCTCATTTCTGGACTTGCAAGTATTATACAGTGGACTCCAAATAAGTTTGCAAAACTTATGTCAAACCCTATCACTCAAGGACACACCATCATTGATCATGGCTCACAGTGCTCCAGCCTTAACATCCTTTTTAAGAGGGACCTTGCAACCACAACTACATACTGTGGTGTCACAGGAAAAACTGTTTACCACTGAAACTTGTTTACCTGCTGAATAGCATTCCCAGAGCTACTTCCATGCTTTAATTAATAATGTCACTATAAATTGCCTCTTCTCTCATTTCCTCCAGATGTTATTTTTTCTTTTCTTGGCAATTTCAAAAATAAATGGCAGAGGCACAAGTCTGGTGAAATGTACACACATTGATTCTATTTCTAGATATTTCAAGAAGTCTTCCCTATCTACTGGCTACCATGTACACACTAATGAGATCTCCTTGCACTCTGATCCCTGTCTGTGTGTTTGCATCTGTAAAATATTTATACCAACTATACCAGTATGACCAGCATGTACAAGGAGAGCTCTTCTTCTATACTTTACATTAATATCCTGGAGAAAAGCCAAAAATCTAATTTTACAGCCAGCATTGGTGTATTGACAATATCTGGGCCCCTTACATACTGCACTATGTCTTAAGTCCAGGGAGCTGCCTCATTGGTGGGAAAAGTATGTGTTCAATATGATCAGTCATATTGAAAAGACATGAACTTCTGAGGCTGCTGGTGGTTGCCTTCAGTGTATGATGAAGTCAAATCCACCGTCGTCTTCTAAAAACAAATTTCAGATCACAAATGGTGTAAGATTCAGATTTGGAAATTCAATAACCTCACTACCTTCTTGGGTTGCCTATGGGGAACAGGTGACCCAGTTTAGTGATGAAATCAGCTTGAGAATTCACACATCCAGGGCTCTTTCTGATCTATCATTCCCAGTTCTGTACTCCTAAATATCTTAGGATTTCAATGAGACTTATGGGTATGAGAATTCACTTATTCAGATCCAAAATTTCTTCCTGAAGCAATGCCCTAACACAGAACCCAACATGATTCCCTCAGAACATACTCTGAGAGATATATAGAAATAATCTTTTTCTACAACTTCAAGTAGAAAGCAGTCATAAATAAGAGAGTTATAATTCCAAACAATGATTATTTTTTCCCATCAGAATGAAATGTTCAAGGACAATCAGAAATAAAAAGATTTAGAGGAAAAAAGATGAGAAAGTTATTGAAAATGTCAAAAAGGATGGAGACATTCTTATTACAGACTGGTCACTCTAAGTAAGAAAATATAGTTAAAATATATCCATTTGAAGGCATTGGGGGATTTGCTGAGGCATTTTAGGGAGTTGAAGCTGAGAGAAGAGCAGAACTGTCAAGTTGGCAGGGCAAGGTTGACTTTCATAGATACACTTGATGGAGCAGGGCAGGGGCTCCTCATCACTGTTCCCCTCTTTCCCAACATCTCCAGTCTTCTCTGAAGATTGCTGTTGCCACGTTCATGCTCCTCAGATGTGTCCTGCAGAGCCCTCTGGAGAACCAACCTGAAGGTCTGCTGCCTCTGCAGCTGCTGTCTAAAGGAGCCTACAAAGAAGTAAATGATGGGGTTGGCACAGCTGTTAATAGAGGACAGGACAGCTATAACCACATAAAGACAGGACAGAGCATTGATATTATACTCAATCCAGAGTATCAGGAACTGGAAGATGCCAAAAGGCAGGCCACAGAGGAGGAAGACCAGCACTGAGAGCAGGATAGTCACATACAGCCTGGTGAACCTCATCTGCCTGGAGCCACAGATCCTGCTCAGCAGGGCCAGGCTGGACCCTGAGAGAATCAGAAATGAAAACATAAGCCACACAGCTATGAAAAACTCAACTTTTTTACACCTATCGTGTTCAAAATTGTCATATGCTGATGAACAGAAGCACCATTTCAGGATGTCCAGCAGCACAGAAATTGTCCAGAGCAGGACACACATGACAGCTGATGTATGTTTGGGGCGGTGGCAGCGATACCAGATGGGCCACAGGACAGACAGGGAGCGCTCTGTGCTGATGGTGCTGAGCAAGCCCAGTCCTGTGATGTAGGAAATGACTTTCACATTCTCTATGATGTCATACATAAGGGGAGGGGTGTGAGGGAAGATGCTGAGCATCGCCAGGGACCCAGTGGAGTGGCAGCAGAGGAAGAGCGAGTCGGCAGCAGCCAGGTTTAGGAGGTAGACGGAGAAGGTGTTCCTGTGCATGCGGAAGCCCAGGAGCCAGAGCACAACTCCATTTCCTGCAAGTCCAACCAGTGCAATGATGAGGGCTAGCAAGTGAGAGACCACATTCTTTATGTCACAAGTGAGAGGAAGGTCCTGGTAATTTCCGTTGATTGGTGTGGCTTCTGTCCTCCAGGATGGGATAGTTGGATATAGGCTCCCAAACTCTTCTCTGGTGGCCCTGGGAACAGAAACAAGATCAGCACATGCCACATGACCTTTGATTCTCAGGATCATCCTGCTATGTGAAAATTGCTATCCCCATTTTAAAGAGGAGGAAAACAGGATTTTAGAGATGAAGTTTCCTACCAAGATTTAGAGATGCCCAGAATTCAAATTTGAATTCAACTCAGTACCCATTGTCTGAACACCCTGAGCTCCCAGACCTGAACCTCAAGACTTCTAAGTGACACGGAAACACATTGCAGTTCAAACACTCCCACTTAACGGGCTGGAACTATGAACCACCTCTATACTGATCTGGGCCAGACATTTTCTCTCAAGAAGAAGAACTGAGACAGATGCAGAAGTGATCATGACATCCCCAGGACTAAAATGGGTCCTTCCAAAGAAGTCCTTTTAGAGCCAGGAAGAGGCAGGTCTGAGGATGGCTGTTTCTGTGTGTGAGGCCTTGAAGACAGGTGCCTACCATTGTGTGGCCCATGTGTGCTCAACACTTATTCAATGAATGAACACATGAGGGAGGCATCTTGTGATATTAGACAGTTTGGGTTAAGTGGAAAATAAAGATGAAAATACCACAAAAGTATCAGAATACACATGTAAAATGAGATAAGATAATTTTATTCATCATCATTCTTTTTGTGGCACCTCTGGGTTTATTTAGAAGTACTTATGTATTCCAAAATTAGTGATTTTTTTTTACCACCAATGTTCCTTTGAAGTGAGGTTTCAGTGTAGCTTTGTTGAGCACCTAGAGTCAACTGGGTGCACAGTGTGGGGCTGAGATTAGTGTATGATCAGAATTGTTCTGCTTTATAGAAAATAAAGTACAAAGTAGTTGTGAAGTCTGAATTCTATTGAAATGAGGTATTTGAAATGCAGGAATGAAGGACTGCTTACTGATGTGTTAGGGAATCTCTAATCTAAACCTATTTCATTCTCTATTCCAGAACATCTTTAGTATTCTTTTTAAAATTTTTAAAAATTTGTTCTAATTAATTATGCATGACAGTAGAATACATTTATGCACTTTGATATGTCATACATAAATGAAGTATAATTTCTCATTTTTATGATTGCACATGTTATAGAATCACATTGGTCATACAGTGATATATGTACATAAGGTAATAATGTCTGTTTCATTCTACTATCCTTCCTACTCCTATAACCTCTCACCTCCCTTCATTCCCCTCTGTCTCATCTATTTTTCCCTAGCTGCCCTTCCTTATTGTGAATTATCATCTACATATCAGAGAAAACATTAGGCTTTGTTTTTTTGGGATTGGCTTATTTTGTTTAGCATGATATTCTCCAGCTTCATCCATTTACCAGCAAATGTCATCATTTCATTCTTCTTTAAGGCTGAGAAATATTCCATTGTGAATATATGACACATTCTTTTAAATCTATTCTTCTATCGAAGGGCACCTGGTTCCATAGTTTAGCTATTGTGAGTTGAGCTGCTGTAAACATTGATGTGATTGCATCACTGTAATATGCTGATTTTAAGTCCTTTGGGTATAAACTGAGAAGTGGGATAGCTGGGTGAAATGGTGGTTCCATTCCAAGTTTTCTGAGGAATCTCCATAACATTTTCCATAATGGTTGCACCAATTTGCATTCTCACCAGCAATGTATGAATGCACTTTTGGTCAACAAATATATGAAAAAATGTTCAATGTCTTTAGCAATTGGAGAATGGAGATCAAAACTACTCTAATATTTCATCTCACCCCAGTCAGAAAGGCAATCATCAAGAATACAAACAACAATAAAGGTTGGCGAGAATGTGGGGGGGAAAGGTACACTCATAGAGTATTATTTTTGATAAAAATTTCTATGTGAAAGGAATCTATGAGGGGAAATAGAAACTGTTCAGGGTTTAGTTTTACAGAAGTTGCTCACACAGATTTTACCTAGAAAAAGGGGATCGGTGCATATCTTTGTAATGAACAGAATCTGATTGAGAATTTACCCATATTTTCTCTTGGGATCCTCTCAAGATCTATGAGATAAAAATAATATTTTGTCCATTTTATAGCAGATGGAATTAGAGAACAAACAGGATGAGAGTCACTGGTCTCTTAGGGTGGAATTGAACCCATGAGGTTTTACCCTTTTGACCAGCATTTTAGATCACCACCACTGTGCGTTGATTATAGGTGTATGTGGGAAAAGCAAAGAGTAATTCCTAAGTTATATCCAACCTGGCAGTCAAAATTGTGGATGAAACAAAATCTAGATAAACAAGCCTTAGAAACAGAGGGGAAGAAATACCAAATACCAATCAAATAAGGCAACATGAAAGAGGTGGGTAGAAGTCACTTAGGAACAGATAGCAGCTGCCCCCCAAAGGCAGACATTGCTTTGGAATCCAGAGGACCCACCAGAGCAGGAAGCTCTCAAGTGGAATGAGGAGGACGCACTCCAGGCCTGCAGAGGGGCACCCAGAAGTGAATGCCTCCATAGGAGATCCTCTAGAAAGCCAAGCTCTACAGCCTTGGTTGACTTTAAGGGAAAATGGAAGACAAAGTAGAAATTTTTCTGTCTCTATTCCAGTTCCTTCACAGTCTTTACATCTGTTTTTTGGGTGCAATGTGTCTGTCTGCCTCATCAAACATGAAGCTCTGTAAGGACTATGTCATGAGGGTTTTATTTGTTACTATATCCTGATATTTAGAATATATTCCTGAAGAGCCTTAAGAAATTTTAAAATTTTCACTTAACAGAAAGAAACTGAGGCTCTAACAGATATCTTCAAGAGAAGGCCCAATACCAGCCCCTGGTGTTCTGGAACCCTGTTAGAGGCTTTACCACTATTCTTGGTCTAATGAATCCTTTTTCTTAGGAGCTCACTCAAAATTTTCATATGCCATAGGATCTGACAGACCACAAGGGCCTGTAGAGACTGTTAGAATTCCCCAGTAGCCATTCTTCTATTTTGTACCAGTAATTCCCTGTATTTTAGGTCCAAAAATGTATCCTGTTTCCCATCCTCTCTTGATGCTGATGGCACCATGTGGCTGGGCACTAACCCATGGGAGGTAAGGAGAGTGACGTAACCAACTCTTGAGTCATGGGGTTAATAGAAGTGTCATAGCCTCCCATTCCCATCTTCCTCTTCCCTCAGATGGAATGTTCCTATGGTTGAGAGTCATGTAGGAATGCAAGCATGATCATACCCTTTTAGGATTTGGGAATAGCAATTTTGAAGTTTTTTGGTTTTATATCATGGAGCCCCAGCTGAGGTCTCATAAATATCTTCTTAAGGTCATTGTTGTCATTGTTCTGCATTTCAATAGCCACACTTAGACTTTAAGCAATAAGGAATGTGTTTTCATTTTAATTTCTGTTCAATTTTGAAGGTATTTTTGATCAAGGTGGGTGATTACTTCATAAAATCTACACAAAGAAAACATATGCAAACAGGGAAAATAACTTCAATGCAGATAAGATGAGAAATGTTTCACTGATATTTAGTTTGATAAACCCCCCTGGAATGGGAAGATACAAGGAGATGTGAAGGATAGTCTCATCTGTCAGGAGAATTTTCTTTGCATCCTTCTCTGCCTTGTTTGGCTTCCCAACAGGTGGCTTCTGAGAGCCCAGCAGGGGCATCATTTTCCTTCTTGTTTCTGGTTGGATTGGGCTACTGGGTGATACTTTCAGGGCACTGGAAGGCAGGGGAGAGGGGTGTGAGTTTTCGAACCCTTAGCTCTGTGCTGTGAGGCTGTGTGTTGGCAGTGGGTCTTCTCCACCTGCCTGTTGCCTTCTGTAATACAGCTGTAGCCATAGCTACACTCTCCCTGGTAATGGCTCCTTCCCTTTCTCCACAATAGTCTAGGGGTGGAAATAGCATGTCACCCTTGCTTTCCTTATGGTGTCTCGTTTCCTTTAATCCTGCCATTTCTGTAGATAGTCCTCTACACTATTAAGTGCTTGTCCATCTGGTTTATTGCTCTGAGGAGCTAGTTCTTTGTTGAGCTTTGTGTGTTTTAGTCCCTATTTAATTTAGTTTTGCTCTGACCTTTATTATTTTCCTATTTTTACTAATATTATGTTTAGTTAGTTATTGTTTTTTTTTGTCCTTGATAGGTTATTCATTTGAGATCTTTCTGCACTTTTTTTTTCTGAGATAGGGTGAAAAAGTCTTCCTGTCTCCACCTTCCAAATAGGTGGGACTACAGACAGGAGCTAGCACGACTGGCTCTTTCTGATGTGAGTGTTGACTGCTCTAAATTTGCCTGTTAGTATTGTTCTTGCTACAACCCGTAGGTTTTCATGTGTTGTGTTTCTGTTTTCAATCATTTGATGAAATTTTCAAACTTTCTTAACCTCTGATTTGTTGGTTGGGAGTGTGTTGAGTAATTTTAATGTATATGTGTTTTGCATTTTTTTTATTGGTTTACAATTTCAATGCATTGTTCTCAGAGTTGATGCATGGTAAGATTTCACTTTTTGAAGATATTTTGAGACTTGCTTAGTTGTTACCTTGTGCTGTTGTTCCATGTGCCGTTTGGACACATTTCTGTCCTGCAGGTATTGGACAGAGTCTCTTATAGATGTGTCTTAGATCCACTTGATCTAGGGTGCAGATTTGCTTTGCTGTTTCTTTATTGGTATTTTGTATGATCTGTTAATTATTTTAAGTTGAATTTTGAAGTTCATTACTATTATCATATTTTTCTATTTCTCCCTTTAATAAAGTCTGTTAATGTTTGATTTGGATATATGGGTGCTTCAGTATGGGGTGCTCATATATTTACAAGTATTACTTGCTCTTGTTGACCTGACCCCTTTATCATAATACAATGACCTTCCTTTTTATTTTGGCTTTTGATTTAAAATCTACTTTATCAGATATAGTTTTGACTACTACTGCTCTTTAGAAATCCGTTTGCATGGAATATCTTATTCACCTTCTTCTCTTTTCATCTATGTATGCCCTTAGAGCTGAAGTTATTTCTTGTAAGTAGTGTATTGTATCTTTTAAAATATCCACTTAGTCACTTGGTGTGTTTTTATTAGAGAATTCAATCTATTTATTTTTA